CCGTGGAACCCGAGAGAATGGTTAACGCCACCTCCTGAAGGCCACCGAGAGCTCCTTGTTGTACTCCGGGGGGGTAGAAGAACAGCTTGCATGGCCTCGACGAACGCTGATCAATGTTGTTGCAATGACCCCGACGCCCCCCCCCCAGGATGAGATAGGCCCATCACGCTCACGCCTGGGCCCTACCGTCTGTGGAGCATCCTCAGAAAGCAGCCAGTTACGACTTGGGAGAGAGAAAAAACGGGCTTCTGGGATTCGGCGGTCAAAGGGAGCAGCCCCTTGAGGGCGGCAGTACTGAGACAATTGAAAGCTGAAGCCTGTGGCCTCCTGGGCAGCAGCTGGGCCCAGTTCCCCTGGGACGCTGAACAGTTTGACGATCTCAACCAACCAGCCACGCTAGCAGGATTGGCTCAATCGTTACAGCATCCCTTGGTACCTTTCTATTTAGCTTTGCTCCATCACCTAGCAGATCGACGGCTCGCAGTGGGTCGCATACTGCCTGACAGCATCCAGCCAACCAACTCCATTATTGCAGGTTGTATGCAGAGTGCAGCATGGTCGAGAATGTATATATGGGAGCTGTTGGACGACATCCGCAAACGATTTCCTCCTCCGCACAATCATATTGGGAGCTGGGTGGACGACCTGGCTCAACTCAACATCGGCAATCACAACATGGTGCTCAAGCAGAGCATAGCGGTGGCGACAAATCTGGTCAACATCATGCGGAGCAAGGGCCTTCGCATATCCAGGAAGTCAGTCGCCCTCACGAGCAACCCACATTTACGTGCAGCACTGCGGAAACGAGCCGCTGAGCTACAACTACCAGTGCGATTGGAGATTCAAGTACGAGATCTGGGCATCGATGCCAGCAGTGGTGCGAGGACGCAAGGGGTAATTAATAATAGACATCTGACAAGCTCACGGAGAGCCAACTTGACTCGGTTTCTAAGAAGAGTTGACAAAAAGGGGGCTAAGAAGCTCAGTTTAACGGGACACACGCCACAAGTTGCTTGAGGGTCCGTGGCCAGGGGCCTTGCGCCCGAATACTTTGAGAAAGCTCCGAGCCCAGGCGTCCTCTATTTGTGCTCGTAAGTGGGCAGGAGGTTGTGCGACCACCGCCATCAGGATTAGATTAGGCAGGAAAAGCGATCCCATGGTCTGGGGACCGCTTGAGTTACTTTCAGCCTGGCAGGCACATCTCCCTAGGACCTCCGAATGGCGAGAAGCCATCGACCGCGCTTGGGAGGAGAATCGCCAGAAGTTGCAGAACGTAGAGAACCATTGGCAGCATGTGCGTGGACACCTGGCTGCTGTCCAAGCAAAACTCCTAGACATGAGGTGGACACCCAATTCGCCAGGGGAATGAACCATTCCGTGCGGGGAAAATCCGCCGACCCTGTCGGCGTGTGTGAGGGGCTTCTCCGTTCGCCTCGTCGTCTCCGTCGTCTCCGTTCTCCCCCTCCCAGGGCTCTCCTCCTCAAGCGCGCTATCCAAAGCGAAATTAAACGACGCCGTAGTGGAGTCGAAGGGAAGCCCCTTCCTTCCCTTTGATCCCTTCCCCGCAGGGGGGATGGGGGGGAGGGGGGCGGGGGGGGCCGGGGGGGAGATACGACGCCCGCCGGGGCGCACTTTCCTCGAGCGGGCACGCACGGGATGCACTTCCTCCTCCTCCTGGTCCTCCTCCTCCTCCTTTTCCTCTCTCCTCCTCCTCCTCCTGCTCCTCTCCTCCTTTCTCCTCCTCCTCCTCCTCCTCCTCCTCTCCCGCAGAGGCGTCCCGGGAGCGGGCCCGAGTCAAAATACCACCCCCTAGGGCGCATTTTCCTCGAGCGGGCACGCCCGAGATGCACTTCTTCCTCTTCCGGGAGCACGTCCCAAGTGAATATCACACTCCCGGGGCGCACTTCTTCGAGCGGGCACACAAAGGATGCACTTCCTCCTCTCCTCCTCCTCCTCTTCCTCCCTCCTCATCCTCTCCTCCTCATGCCTCTCTCCTTTCCTCCTCCCTCCTTCTCCTCCTCCTCCTCCTCTTCCTCCTCCTCCTCCTCCTCCTCCTCATCCTCCGCTTCCTCTCCCCACTCCTAGCCCTTTCGATCAGGGTCGGCGGCACCGGCCGTCAGGCCTCTCCAATCAATTTTGAAGGTCCCAATGGACCCAACCTGCTGAAATACGAAGTGGTGTCCCCCTGGAGCAGAGCTTGCGGGCCCAAGCGAGCAAACACTTTGCGGGGGCTGGAGCTGAGTTTGGGGCAGATTTAACTGTGACTTGGGCCCACTTGAAAAGTCTGCGAAGTAAAGGTTTGACCAACTTAGCTGCTGTCCTAGAGATGGTCAGCCAGGGGGCCTTGTGGCCCGTACAGACACGTGTCGAAAATACTCGATTCGGTTCCCCGATTTGCTCAAGATGTAAAGTAGCAGAAGAATCCATGTATCACCAACTCTGGGAATGCCCAGCCAATGCTGACATTCCAGATCTGGAAATAGATGACGCCCTCAATGCTCAGGCCAAGGTGGGAGCCGAAGCTTACCCGTGTTTCTGGTTACGAGGCCTGGTTCCTATCTTATGGACCATGGCTAGGACGGACATCCCGCTCCCCTCCGAAGAAACGGTTTTTGAAGGAGACTGGCCCACCGAAGGCCAACTACAGCTCCCGCCAGAAGCCACAGTAGGTACAGACGGCACTGGAGGAGAACACTCGAGGGATGCTCGCCTGAGAAGGGTTGGATGGTCGTTCGCCGTTTACGTCGAAGGAGAGGTGAGAGCATCCCTACGAGGAAATGTCGCTGGCCCGAGGCAGACAGTACCAAGGGCCGAACTTTTAGCATGTGTTAGGTTTTTGCAAAAGGGCAAGGAGATGCCAGGGTGGTTGTAGACGCCAGCTATGTTACCCGAGGGATCCACAAAGGCAGAAGCGCCACCCGTTCTTCCAATTCAGATTTCTGGCGAGAGATTTTGGCGGCCCAGGATTCCCATCAAGGGGATGTGGTGTCCCGAAATGTGAAGAGCCATCTACCGGAACACGACATAGGACACAGCATCTCGGTCGCCGATTGGGCAGCCAATGACGCAACACATACGTTGGCTGACGAGGCCGCCGATGAAGCTGGGCCGCCCTGCTCCCTGGCATTTCCAGTGCGAGAAGCTGACAAACTGGCTTGGAAAGTGCAGAGACGCCTAGTCAGTGTTACACTTGAAATAGCCAAAAGCGCTGCATGAGGATTTGTACGGCACGACCCTGAAGGGAGACGTGGCAGCCAGGACTAAGTCGGACTCAAAGGCTTTGGCTGCAAGGAGGGTTACAGCGGCCCAAACCACGTCCCATCGTCTGAGGGAAACTCCCAAGGGTTTCAAATGTTTAGCTTTCCTGAGAGTCAGTTCCAAGGCGGTCTGATATATTTTTGCCAGCAGGAGTGCGAGAAGCGTCCTTTCCAAATTCATAGCATTCACAAATTAGAGAATGTTCGTGGATTTTGGTTTTGTAGAATGTGCGCGGCCCAAGGCGCCAAGAGATTTATGAACTTGTCCGAGCCTTCTGAGAAGCGCCTCAACAAAAAAGGACGACTCACTCTGAAGAAGCTCGAGGACGACTGTCAGACTCTGAAAGTTCATCTCTCGAGCTGACGATGCCTGGAGAAATCCCGCTGTGGGGGGCCACGGAAGAGGAGGGAGTGGAGCTGGCTTTTCGGGGAGTACACGGTTGGCCAAACTTTCAATTTTTGTATTTTCCCGCTGTGCGGGGGCCCGTGAAGAATCACGGAAGAGGAGGGATCTGGGGTCAGGGGAGGTGTCTCCCGCTGGACACCCTCCTTTTGGGGCGCGGGGAGTAAACTCGTCGGTTCGCCTCAGGCTGTGGCGCAGAAGAGAGAGAAGGAGGAGGAGGAGGAGGAGGAGAGAGAGAGAGGAGGGAGAGGAGGGGGAGGGAGGAGGAGGAGAGGAGGAGGAGGAGGGTGGGGAGGAAGGGAGGGGGGGGGAGGAGGAGGAGAAGGAGAGGAGGAGGAGGAGGAGGGAGGAGGAGAGGGGAAGAGGGGGAGGAGGCGTGGCATGAGGAGGAGGAGGAGAGGAGGGAGGAGGAGGAGGAGGAGGAGGAGGAGGAGGAGGAGGAGGAGGAGAGAAAGGAGAATTGAAGCAGAGCGAAACATAGCGGCAAGGTAGGGGGAGAGGGGGAACATGAAGGAATGGAAGGAGAAGGAGGACGACGACGATGACGACGATGACGACGACGACGAAGGCGACGCCGACGCCGACGACGGAGGCGAGACGGCGCGGGCAGAGGGCGGAGGTCGGGAGCAGAGAGACGGCCACGCCCCTCTTGGACGACGGGGGACGAGCCGAAGGCCCGTGAGCGGTGGCGGCAAGCCATGATCGTCCCGCTGCTCGCCAGCGGGCCTGTGCGCTCCCTCTGCCCCGTCGGGGCACAACGAACTTCCAGGCATGCAGGCAATCGAGACGAGGCCAAGACGAGGACAGATTCGGGTGGGGAGACATCGAGAATCTCTCCAAGATCCGGCGGATCTGGAGGATGTCTCGGGCGCCACGGCCTACTCAGAAGGTTCCGGAACGCTCTGAGAGCCTGCCAGAACGCTCTGGAACGGACTTATCCTCGTCCTAACCCTAGCTGGCCTATGTGCTTCCTCTGCCCCGTCGGGGCACAGCGAACTTCCAGAGGTGCAGGAAAGGTCGGCACCCATTGTCTCACTCTGGACTGGCCAGCCTTTCCACCGGTCAGCCCGTGACTCGATGAGATCTCCGTCGTACCGCCGCAGATGCTCCACCACGTGGACGTCCGAGCTAGGCTGGCCGTGGAACGGCCCTACGAACATTTCGGCGGCCTCCCGACTCTCGTCAGCGGAGATTTTCTCCAGCTCCCTCTCTCGCATTGGATCTCGACGACGCTGGACACGTCGCTGCCATGCAAGACCCCGCGGATACCGCGCCCGCAGACGGCAAAGAGTCCGAGAAAGAGCAGAAACGAACGCCATGATCATGAGAGATCTTCAGATCTAGCGCTCCCCCATCGTTCGGCCCTTCAACAGACGATGGCTGCCCTCGCACACACGCCCCTCGCCCTCCCAGCACGCAGCCTCGCGCAGCTTCTCTTCGATGAAGTCGGTGAGCTCGCTGGCACCCAACGACGCCGTCGACGACGCCAGCGGGCCGCGAGACAGCCCGACCTCCGCAGGCACCTTGGGAAGAGCGAGGCAGCGAGAGAGGGAGCGAGCGAGACACAGGGATTGTTGGAGGGGGAGGGCGAGGGAGGGAGGCTTGAGCAGGGACCGACCGTCCCGGCATTCCTATAGCCCTACCACGGAATGTTCTTAGAACCCAAAAATGGTCTAAGAACGAAAACAATGTTCTTAGAGCATAAGCCCGATGTGTTCAAACAAGACAGACTCCGCCAGAAGTGTTCTAAGAACATTTCGTGGAAACCACAAAAGGTTCTTAGAACATTGTTTGGTAGGGCTATAGGCGAGCCAGGACGCTTCGCCACTGCTTGAGAGACAGAGATGGAGAGAGCAAGAAATACAGTAGGGATGCGCAGCCGCCGCGCGCACGCATTCCATACCCCCAGCAGGACTGTTGGGGGTGGGATCTTCCTGTGCGCGCTCGCGACGCCCGTGTCCCAGCCCCTCCTCCTCCTGCTCCTGCTCCTGCTCCTGCTCCTGCTCCTGCTCCTGCTGCTGCTGCTCCTCCTCCTCCTCCTCCTCCTCCTCCTCCTCCTCCTCCTCCCCTCCTCCTCCTCCTACTCCCTCCTCCTCCTCCTCCCTCCTCTCCTCCCCCCCTCCTCCTCCTCCTCCCTCCTCCTCCTCCTCTCCTCCTCCTTCCTCCTCCTCCTCCTCCTCCTCCTCCTCCTCCTCCTCCTCTTCTCCTCACCTCCTCCTCCTCCTCCTCCTCCTCCTCCTCCTCCTCCTCCTCCCTCCGCTCCTCCTCCCCCCTCGCTCCTCCTCCTCCTTCCTCCTATCCCTCCTCCTCCTTCCAACCTCCTCCCCTCCCACTCCTCCTCCCCTCCCACTCCTCCCCTCCTTATCTCACTCCTCCTCCTCCTCCTCCTCCTCCGCCTCCTCCTCCTCCGCCTCCTCCTCCTCCTCCTCCTCCTCCTCCTCATCCGTCCCTCCCCTTCCCCAGCGCCGTCAGCTACGATTCAGGCTCCGGCAATCCTCTGCAGCTGGGCCGGGAAAAGGCTTGGCGCAGCAGAGGGGTGCCCACCGCGCGGGCTGTATCCATGGATGCCCCCCGTGTGCAGAGCCCGACTCCGGTCGGGAACTCCTGCGTAGCGTGTCGCCGCGGCAGCCCTGGCGGCACCGCTGTGACCTGCACGCAGATAGCGCGCCGCTCCGCTCCGCAAGAGCGGGAGGCTCGGAAAGGCTGGGGACGTCGAAGCCTGGGGACTGGGACGTGTACGGCGTGCTGCGCCGAAGCGTGGTGGGCCAGAGCCCGCGGAGCTGAGCGTAGCCCACATATGGTCCCCCCCCCTCACTCCCTTAGGGGGCCACCTGCGAACCCTACCCCTACCCCCCACCCCCCACGGTTTCTGAGGGAGGAGGGTGGGGTTCGCTTCGTTCGGGAGCTCCCGAACGAAGTGAACCCACCCCTCCCCCTCAGAAATCGTGGGGGGTAGGGCCCTCTGTGTGGGGAGGAGGAGGAGGAGGAGGAGGAGGGGAGGAGGAGGAGGAGGAGGAGGAGGAGGAGGAGGGGGAGGAGGAGGAGGAGGAGGAGGGGAGGAGGGGGAGGAGGGGGGGGAGGAGGAGGGAGGAGGAGGGAGGAGGAGAGGAGGAGGAGGAGGAGGAGGGTTCGCAGGTGGCCCCCTATCCCTCCGCAGAACCAGAGGGAGCCACATCAACAGAAGCTTTCGGAGCTCCCCGCGGCCTTCTCGGATCGGCACCGGGCCCCCCCCCCCTGGAGCGCGGGCCGCGCGCCAGGGGCGGCGCTGGAGGCGCTGCCAGGGGGTCCCGAGCGCCGCTCCTTCCAACCTCCCCTCCCCTCCTCCTCTCCTCCTCCTCCTCCCTTCCTTCCAACCTCCTCCCCTCCCACTCCTCCTCCCCTCCCACTCCTCCTCCTTCTCCTCACCTCCTCCTCCTCCTCCTCCTCCTCACCTCACCTTCTCCTAGAAATCCGTGCGGAACCCAAAGGAATTGAAGCTATGCCTTGTTCTTCGACTCCCCTCGCCTCCCTCGTGCGCCTCGCGCCTCCCCTCCCTGAGGTGGCCGTTCCGTTCCGTAGAGGCTCGGAACGACTCGTTCCGTAGTCTGCAAAAAATACTGCTCGCAAGGGCGGCCAGCAGATCCGCCGCCCAACTTGGTCAAGGCCCGCTCGCAACACCACCGGGGGCCTTGCGAGAGACAATCAGGACGCGGGCAGGACAAACGCACGAGGTGCACCGCCTCCGAATCAAGAGACTCGGGGATGGACAGACCCCCCTTTCGTAACACGTGGTTTAGTGAAGACGACCTGAGGCCCAAACCTGGCGGGCGCAAGCCTGAAAAATGACGGCCGCGGCGCCCTCTCGAGAACCGAAAACGGACAATTCACTAATCGACGTGTCACTGTTGGGGGTTCTGTCCACCCCCGAGAGACCGCCGGAGCATCCATAGTGCAAGATAGTTCCCAGTTCTCGAATGGGCGGGGGCCGGGCCTCGGAGGAGAAGGCCTCCTAGACAGGGTCAAACTAGATGGAGGAGGAGGATCTCGCCGCATCGCCGATGCATCGCCGATGCATCGGCAATACATCGGCAACGCACTGGCGATGTACCAGCGACGCCGGCGATGTATCGACGACGCCGGCGTGGAGAATAGTGGGCCCCACATCGAGCCGCATCGCCGATGCATCGCTTATGCATCGGCGATGCGGCACGATCCTCTGGCCCCATCTGCTCCGACCCCATCTAGGACGCCTAGAGGATTCGACTGGTGACACCCCTCCTCCTCCTCCTCTTCCTCCTCCTCCTCCTCCTCTTCCTCCTGCTCCTCCTCCTCCTCCTCTCCTCCTCCTCCTCCTCCTCCTCCTCCTCTCCTCCTGCCTCCCTCCTCCCTCCCTCCTCCTCCTCCTCCTCCTCCTCCTCCTCCCTCCTCCTCCTCCTCCTTCCTCCTCCTCCTCCTCGATTTTTTCTTCCCGATGCCGTGGAGCCCCCCTCTGAGGGCACAACTGTCCACGCGGGAATCCCTACTCCAAAGGGGCGATCACGGCTGGGACTTTCCCAGCCACTCCTGGCAGGTAGCCTTGGCACATCCTTCGGACGGCCCTCCTGCCCCACTCGCCAGGCACGCCACAGGGGGTGAGGAATCCCTTGAGCTGCTTAGGACTGTGAGCACCAAAGTGCACGCACAGGGGTCGAGGAATCCCTGCAGGCCACCGCCTGCAGGGATTCCTCGACCCGAAAAACAACTAAACGATGTGCTTTCAGGCCCTGCTGCTGCAACGGCTCATTGGCGTCACGCGCACGCGACGCGATCGACCCTGAGCAGGTCTGCGTCGCGGGGGCCACGGCACGGCAGCACGCACACCAGGGCCTGTCGGCAGGCCCCTTACAATCATGCATCAACTGAAGGGGCACGACCACAAGGGGAGGAGGCATGCACACACGCATGCGGCGCGCAACGTGTGACGTGTCGCGCGCATCCACGTCGGCGCCAACCTCCCCGATCCTATGCCCAACCTGCTCAACAAACTGCTCAGCCTGCTGCATGCGCCCCTCCTCCTCCTCCTCCTCCTCCTCCTCCTCCTCCTCCTCATCCCTCCTCCCCCCCCGCCCGGAGCAGCTGGCGAGGAACGCCCTCCACAGAGCGGATGGCCTTCGTCGCCGCAGGAGTGCCAAGGAGCCCAGGAGGGACCTCGCCCGCGAGAAACTCGCCCGCCTCGGGCTCGTAGCCTTCTCTCGATGTCTGTCTCCTTTTATCTTTTAAGTTCTCGCGAGCTTGCAGGGCAGACGGGAGTTCAGCCTTGCGCTCATACGGTCGAAGTCTATGGTAAGGATGAGCGGGGCAGGGGAACGTTTTTTTAATTCGGCGTTTCGACATTGGGCGGAAGGGGGGAGGGGAAGGGAGGGGGGTTCTGGCTCTGGACCTGTGCTAAAAACGGCTGTTTGCAACAGTGCGTCCTATGGGGGAGGCTCCACCTGCTTGAAGCAGGCGCCCCAAACAGCCAAGATCTACTTCATGGGGGTGGGGGGGGGAGGGGGTGCGAGGGCCCGCGCCGATCGGCAAAACAGTGAATAAGAACACGATCACCAGCCTTCTCTCGATGTTTGCTTCCTCTAGACTTCTCTAAACTCTCTCGAGCTTGTAGAGTAGACGGGAGTTCAGCTTTGCGCCCCTACAGCCGAATTCTACAGTAACGACGGGCGTTCAGGACGCAAGGGCCTTGGACGCCAAAGTTGCTACTCTTGGGGCAGCGGACTGCCAACACCCCTGAAGGGCTGGCCAGTGAAGACCGCGAAGGACAGGCCGTAAAAACAAGGACGCAACGGCATCCTGAGGACATCCGTGCCTCCTTACTATGAGTCCGGTCCTCGGTCCGACGACGACCCCCAATGACAGCAGCGCCGTCTTCACGGTGCTTACAGGGGCGCCCGTCAACAGCCAGCTGTGTCGACGCAACATCGAGCTTGAAGAGCACATCGACGACTGGACGATCATCAGCCGACGAGTGTACGCGGCCCTGATGTGCTGCGAGCTCTGCCTTCATGGGCGACCCTCTGTCCGACCACGACCCTGAAGACATCGGGACTCCCCTCCTCTTCTCCCCTCGCTCCTCCCCTCCCTCCTCCCCCCTCCCTCCTCCCTCCAACGTCGACCCTTTCCGCCTCTTCTCCACCCCCTCGCCCCCCCTCCGTCGACCCTTCCCCCCCCCCTCCCCCCCCTCCTTGGTCGCGCCCTTACCAAAGAGTGTTGACTGTACCTCGGCCCGGCGACGACCCCCCCCGCCCAGGCCGCGGCGGCGGCGCCGGGAGCTGCTCGCTGGAACACGGCAGGCAGCCGGCGGGGCTGCCCGCGCCGCCTCGGGGTGGGCGGCCCGGCGGGGCGGCCGGGCCTCTGCCGAGCGGGCGGCGGCGTCGCTCCCGAACAGTCGGACCTGGGCGCGCCCTGTTGGGCGGCGCGCACAGGAGGAAGAGGAGGAGGAGGAGGAGGAGGAGGAGGAGGAGGAGGAGGAGGGGGAGGAGGAGGAGGAGGAGGAGGAGGAGGAGGAGGAGGAGGGGGAGGAGGAGGAGGGAGGAGGAGGAGGAGGAGGAGGAGGAGGGGAGGGAGGAGAGGGAGGCGGAGGAGGAGAGGGAGGCGGAGGAGGAGGAGGAGGAGGAGGAGGAGGAGGAGGAGGAGGAGGAGGAGGAGGACAAGGACAAAGACAAGGTGGAGGAGGGGGAGGATGAGGAAGAGGAGGAGGAGGACGACGACGACGAGGAGGAGGACGAGAACAAGGCCGCGGTGCCGCTCCAAGGGCTGCAAGCGAACCAAATGCTCGCGGTCCGGCCGACAGAGCAGGGCGAGCTCAAGGTCGTCACGGGCATGGGGGCGTGGAGCTACTCCGTCGTGCCCGGCCGCGGCATCGAGCAGAGGCTTGCGAGCGAGCGCCTGGAGGGCATGCAGAGGTGGCCCGAGGGCAAACCGCCCGTGCCCGAGTGGAGCGCGCTCGACGGGAACTGCTTCCACCTCGACGAGTTGCCCAAGGACTGCGAGCAGGACGAGAGCCCCTGCCTCCTGGAGCTCCGAGACCTGGACCTCGAGCTCACCGACAAGCAGAAAGACATGCTCAGATCGCCAGAAGAGCGGATCAAGGAGATCCACTTCCCGCGCGCCCCCGAGAACCGACACAAGGTGGCGCGAACAAGTAAACGCAAAAGCAGGTGGGCGTCCAAGTTCTCGGGCCAGTTCCTGGGCAAGCTGCAGCGCAAGTGGCAGCGCGCGAAGGCCGAGACTGGCGGCGAGGCCTCGCTTGAGCATCCGATCCGAGGCGTGGCCAAGGCGAAGCTCACAGGCAGGGCGCCGAAGGCCGAGGCGAGCTTCTCCCAGAAGCTAGCTTCTCCCAGTGTTCAAAGCCGAGGCGCAAGCGGAGAAGGACGCCAACAAGCAAGCGACTGCCAAGGCGAGAACAAACCTCGAGGCTTGCGAGGACTCCCCCTGGAACGGCAAGGTGGCCCGCGTCACCGAGGAGGGAGTCCACGAGGGCAGGCGCGGCAGAGTGCAGGACGTCTGGCGAGCCCTGGGCACCGCCTGCGCGCCCGCGAGGTGGAGACCCCGGCGATCTTCCACGTCGACAGCGGCGAGGCCCCGAGGAGTTGTTCGCTCCCTCTTGGGGCGGATCCCAGAGGCGCCCTGCGCAGGAGGCACTTCCAGCAACGCCCGCAAAAGTCTCGAGGGTCGGCGGGGGTGTCGCGGCGGAGTGCCGCGACGCCCTCTAGCAGCCGCCCGAGAACGCCACAGGCCTAAAGGACCACATGCGAACTCGCACCTACGCCCCGCGATTTCTGAGGGGGGAGGTAGGGTTCACTTTGCTCGTGACCTGCCGAACGAAGCGAACCCCGCCCTTCTCCTCAGAAATCGCGCACGCGGCGGGGCGGGGTGGGGCGGTGGTGGTGGTGGCGTGTGGGGGGGGGGGATAGGGTTTGCACGTTGCCTCCTAAAGCCGCCACGAGGATCCTCCGCAAGCTCGGCGCCATTGGCCCTGGCGAAACCTGCCCTGCGAGGAGCAGCGAGATGGTCCCGCGGCCTGTGGGCGAGACGCTGGATCGAGCGCGCCCTGCGCGAGATCCGGGGCGAGGGCCGCCAAGCACCCGCGAGCATCAACGCGATGTGCGCTTGAGGCAACGAGTGGATCAGCGAGCTCAAGGAGGCCAGCGACAACGATTTGGCCAAGGCCAAGGCAAGGGCCAAGGGCGAGGCCAAGTCCCAGCCCCGCGGCGGTCGAGCCGAAGCGCGACACCTTCGAGGCGTCAAGCGCTGCCGCCCAGGCCTGCACCAGGTGCCTCCCGCGCACGGGCGGCTCCAGAGGGCGCCGAGCCTGCGTGGGCGAGCGGTTCGAGGTCGTGCGCAAGAGAGGTTTCGTGGCCAGGAGCGCCAAGGACCTCTCTTGCGCGGGCAAGTTGCAGCCGCGAGACTCGAGATCTCTCGAGTCATTCTTGTGCCAAGATCTACAAGGTTAGTCTACGCGAGCACCCAGGATCACCATCACCATCACCATCGCTATCATCATCCTTCGCTGGGAAAATCGTTTATTATCCCCGCCAGACCCCTGAATTTTATTATCCCCCGGGGTTTATAATCGGGGGCATTGGGCTATCGCTCGCCAACTCGGAGGGGTGACAGGTGCGTTCGTGGAGAACCGCACTGGGTTTTGCCACCGCTCCTTTGCTCGCAGAAACGGCGTCGAAGTTGTCGTAGATTATGCGTAAGGCGACCGGGTAGTGCAAAGACTCAAGCAGCAACGCCGTGCTGTCTCGTGTGTGAGGCGGGCACAGGTTCAATATATGTGTTTGTGCCCGCCCCGTTTTGTCTGTTCGCTCCACGCGCGCTTTCTCGCGTTCGATATTCTTCGCGTGCCGGAATTTAGCCGTTAGAATTGGTGTGGTTGTAGGCGGCCCATTCGCTGGCAGTCACGTGCGCGTCGCGCCGCGTCGCCAGCGTTGGAAGAAGGGCCCGGTCAGAACGTGGGGGCATGGGATTGTGAACTGGCTCCGCGTTGTGAAGGCGGCGCCCGTTGAGAGCAAACAGACGGGCAAGTGGGCAAGTTTTTGACAATGTCATCCATGCCGAAAAGGACAGAATCCGGGGGAGGGGGCGCATTGCCAATGACACGAAGGTCGTTCACTGCAATGCCCGCGCGGCGCGTTCAGCTCCGCACCTGTCAGCGTTTTCATCTGCACGTCCTCCATGTCTGGCAGGAATTGCGCGCTGGGAGACAACCCGCGCCACCAGCGCGGGAGATCTGTAGTTCGCAACGACTTCCTCGGCAGACTGTCTCGGACCATCTGCCGCACGCAGCGGACGAGCCAGAAGTAAACCCAAAAGAGTCTTCAAGTGCCATGGCGACTTCACCCCTGAAGACGGGGTGGTGTTTGAACCCAAATTGTTCTGGACGTCGTGGTGGGGTAACGGGGGGAAGAGGATCGGGCACGTCGAACCCGACTAAGAGAGAGTCGCAGGTTACTTCCAATATGTTCCAAGGTGTCCGAAGATGGCTGAATGTGATGGCTGAGCGTTGCTTTTAGCGTGCTCCAAAAGGCTGGAAGATTGGCCGGAGACGATCTGCTCGAGCTTGACGCCAATCCAAAAAGGTGTTCGTACCACAGCAGGCCTCTTCGATGTGTTTGGGTCTAGGGGGAGGCGTCTCGGGGTGGTCGTCGGGAAACACCGTTGCTGGTTTGGGAGATAACTTGGAGCCTCCTTTGGTTTAGTTATGGTCTTATCGGGAACCTCGTGCACCCTGGTAGGGGCGTTTGGGCGCCTGTTGGCAATTTCGTGGGTCTTTAGGGCCGGAGGGCTCGCGCCTGGTGGCGGTCTTAAGATCCTTGAGAAGTGAATGGCCCTCTCTTGGGCCCGTTTTGGGGCCTTCTCTGGGGATCGTGGGGGCATCTTCGCCCGCCTTGGAGCCTTCTCGGGCCCTCATGGGTTGTCCTGCGGCGATGTTGAGGGCCTTTTGGGCCTTCCTGGGGCGCTGGTAGCACGAAAAAGCGAGAATGCCAGAATAATGCCAAAAAATGGTTTGGGAGTTGGAGACCCCTTGGAGCTCTTTGGGGCGTTTGGAAGGTCTCTTGGGCCATCAGGAGGCCATGTTGGACCCTCTTGGGGCTACCGCTGGCTCGTTTGCACGACTTGGCAGGGATTGGACCCTCGGCAGGGGCGTCCAGGAGCCCCAGAAGCCGGGGATACCGGAAGGTCCGGCCCGCGGGAGGGGGGGGGTCCCACCCCCCCCGATCACAAAAATATGCAACAGGAAATTTGCTGATACTGGATTCCCCGACCAGCGTTTGTACTCAGGAGTTCTTACCTCTGTAACTGAAGATTCGAATGGGTCTGGCGAGGATTTCCAACGCTGCCGCCCGCGGTAGTCTCGTGGCCGCCTCGTGCGCTGCGTTGGCTTGGCGAGTTTTCGCCACGTTTCCGCCCGTTGCAGCCTCGTGGCCGCCTCGTGCGCTGGGTGGGTTCGCCACCTTGCCGCCCGTGGCCGCCTCGTTGCCGCCTCGTATGCTGGGTTGGTCCGACGAGGTTCCGCCACGTTGCTGCCCCATGGCCGCCTCGTGAACTGGTCTACGAAAGCACATAAATATAACGACTCTTGTATTAATGTATGTCGGTATGTATGTTTGTATGTATGTATGTGTATGTGTGTACGTGTGTACGCATGTATGCTTTGTATATATGCATGTATGTACGCACATGCGACCGAACATACGTTTGTATGCATGTATGTACGCATGTATGTATGTATGTATGTATGTATGTATGTATGTATGTATGTGTGACTTCAAATATGTATGTATGTATGTGTGTGCATGTTTGTACGTATGCATGTGTGTATGTGTGTACGTACGTACGTACGTATGTATGTGTATGCATGTGTGTGTGCATGTATGTATATATGTACGTGTGAACGTATGCATGCATGCATGCATGCATGCATGCATGCATGCATGCATGTATGTATGTATGTATGTATGTATGTATGTATGTATGTATGTATGTATGTATACATGTATCGCTCTTTGTCAACAGGACCGGTGCCCGCCCGTGGTCGCCTCCTGGGGCGCCCCCCTCTCGCTGAGAGGGGCCACTCCGAGGTCTCGCCTGGGGCCCGCCCGTGGGCGCCTCGGCGGGCGCTCGTGGGCGCCCCTCACCGTGAAGGGTATCGGAGGACGGGGGGGGGGTGAGCTCGCAGTGGTCAGCGCCCCACAAACGGGGACTCTACTAACGGGTACTTTGGCCAGTGACCCAGCGAACCCAACCCTTCCCGATGCGGGCCACGCTGCATTGCCAGAAAGAGGCCCTAAAGTGGCAACTTTCGGCAAA